TCCATACATTTGCAGCATACTGTATATGTTAGGACAAGATCCACAGTTGAGTTTGTATACCCCTGATTTTTCGAATTTAGAAGTTTTGTCATTATTATTTTTGATGAACCTTCCCGACGTGTTATTTGTTCCATGCTACTTTTAAGTCCTGTTTATGTTGAAATGAGGCTAATTTTTCAGTTGGTGATCCGATATAGGTTAAAGTTTTATAATTTTGATTATTATTATTTTTGGAGTGGAAACTCCATAATAAAGCTATTCCAGAAAGCTATTTTGATAATGGCAAACGATTCGGACTAGTTACAAATACTCCTATATCAATTTTCTAAACAATATCTCATACCTAAGGGGTGTTTCTTATCAACGTTAGAATTTTTGAATAATTGCATTTTTCAAGTCACCGTGTATATAATTTGAATGATACAAGTTTAGCTTGTTTTATTCTTGATCTAATCTCCTTAATTCTCTATAAACTTTTAATATCTCTTCGCAAGTTATTTTCAACAGTTTTTCTGGTGGTATCCTGCAAACTGTTGATATTCTTCGTCGCAACTCTATTTTCTATTTCTTCGCCTGAATTTCTCACTCTGTAGCCAAATGATCTAATCCTGGCTACTAAGCAAGCTCTCGCGATTTTTTCACTGCCTTGATTCTCGATTATTTGCCACGATGAATAGAATTTTCATATACAATTAAACATGTATTTATCGGGGGTACATACATAAGAAATAATGTTTTTTGCCAAATTACAATGAAATTTAAATACAATTCGAAATGTATTGCAAAATGAAAAATAACACGTCGTCTCATAATGAATATTCCCAAAAACGATTTGTCGATTGGTAGAGAATAATAATAATTGTTAATCACTTGATTGTGCCAAAACGGCTGTGTCAGTCTTATATACTTTATATACAGGGTGTAACTAAATAAGTGTAAAACATTTAAGGGGGTGATTCCTCATCGAAAAAGAGATAAAATCTTCCATATAAAGAAACTTCATTGGAGCATCCCATGTCAAGAGATAAAGCCCCTTGAAGGGGGTACATAAAAATTGTTTAACAATTTTTTTCACCAAATAAATTAGTGGCTAAGTGTCTTTTTGGTAGTAGAAAATGTCAGGTTAATTTCAATACTGTAACTTTTTTAGTGCTTGTGAAAAAAATTTTTGAACAAATTTTATGTACCCCCTTCAAGGGACTGTATCTCAACATGGGATGCCCCAATGAAGTTGCTTTATATGAAAGATCCCATCTTTTTTTCGATGAGGAATCACCCCCTCAAATGTTTTACACTTATTCAGTTACACCCTGTATATTTCACATTGGCTCATGTGAAAATGTTTAAATTCGTATATAAATAACCTGATCAATCATTTTCGGGGTGCCAAGGAAAATATTGGTTTACATTTTGAGTGAAAGGTTTTTGAAATTTATTTTAATAGCGATGAAAGAGTCAATTTCACCGAGAAATCTTGGATATAACGAGAACTGCTTAAAATGTGTTTTTATCTATATTTAAACTGCCTCATACCAGAGATGATGAATATTTTATGTTTATTAATAATTCTATACAAGAGAAAGTGATCGAAGTAACTGTCTCTGAATTTTGGATCGAGTTTGGATTTATTAATTCCAACAATAATGTAGCTGATTGAAAATAAAAAGCAAAATTTTGAATGAGATCTTTTTTCGTCTCTAGTAAGCTTCTTAATTGTGTTTTCTTATTCATACATATTAAGATTTCAAAAATTGTTCAACGATACATTCTATATTTCATTACATATCATAGATTTTTATTTATTATTCCAAAAATGAATTCTTCTCATTATATTCCATCGGAGAATAAAAGTTTAATGAACAAAATGAAACTAGAAATTCATTGAAAGCTTTTCCTAATTAGAGCAAAATTATGATTTTCCCACAGATATCAACAATGTTTTGACATCTATTTGGTTCATTCAATAATGGTATTAACTAGACTGGACCAGATGTTTGTGTGCCCAAAATTTGTATTATTGATTTCTAGTTATATTTTTGTAATTCTCCATCAATTGTTCACATCCACAAGATAGTGCAGACTTCAAGTTGAAGAAAAATATGTTATATTTGTGGAAAAACTAATATACAGGGTATGTCACACTATCTCTATATCGAGAATCAGTCGCGGGGGAAATCCATGAAAATATTCATTCTTTTATTTCAGAATACACTCTCTTCATGTAAAATATTTTCAGCAATGCAGTGTTTCCGCTTCTATCAAAAAGTTATTACAAATAGAATACCCTGTATTTTATTGCATTTTCAGATTCTCCCTGAAGAGCTGATTTCATCGATACATCACACTTGGAGTCTGTCGGAAATGGTTGCAGAAATATAGGTTGTTCAAAACCGAGATAGTTCAACTTTAGGATTTTTATAAGATCAAACAATAAAAGTACCAAAGTCTGTCGACCACGAAAAATTATTTAATATCAGTAGTGTAACTAGTTTCGGCCACAGGCCATCATCAGACACAAAATTGATGTATTCAAAGTACCTGAATGATAATTATGAATATTGTTAAGGAGTCGAAGAGTTGGTATACTAACCTCAGTAATACATATCAACAGAAACAAATTTTTTTATCAAAAAGCCAAGGTCGAAAATTCAAATTATCAGTCCTGAATTTAAAATAGGTTTGAATCTGAAAAAAGTCCAGTAACACCAGATCAACGTTATATTTATAAAGAGATACACCAGAGCGATCGATCAAAAAGTTTAAAAATTTCTCTCACGTGAGTTTCATCAGGTTATGTTTGTGTCGAAACTATTCATTATCGGCCAAAACATGTCCCTATCTCAACTTCTGATTTACTATTTACTGATATTCAATCGGAACAGATACAGGGTGATCAGAATTCTGAATCTTGAACCACCCTGTATCTGTTCCGATTAAATATCAGTAAATAGTAAATCAAAAGTTGAGATAGGGACACGTTAGCCGTTTTGATCGATAATGAATATTTTCGACACAAAAAATCCTAACGTTGAAAAATCTCGATTTTGAAAACCCTATATAGACCCCAAGTGTGATATATCGATGAAATCAGCTCTTCAGGGAAAATATAAAAATGCGATAAAATATAGGGTGTTCCATTTGAAATATCAATGTTGCTACTACTTTCTAGTAGACGCGGCAACACTGCATTGTCGAAAATATTTTAAACGAAGAGAGCGTATTCTAAAATATTAGCATGCACATTTTCATGAGTTTCTCCCGACTTATTCATTCTCGATATAAAGATAGTGCAAGCTCGTCGTGACATACCCTGTATAAACCACTTTATGTTCTTGAGAACTTTGGAATATGATCACTAATTTTGTGTAACGATGGGATTTTGCGGAACGATCGAAGCGAGATCCCACAAAACACGCTTCCTAACGTGTTTCATACAATATTTCTACTAATTTTGATGAAAAATGTTGCTTGAACAGAAATAATTGCCAATTCCACGTGAGTTCAACCGATTCACTAAAGAATTTGGTAGGCAAGTTGACTTCGTCCGTCACTTCGAAGTATCAAAACTCGTTTCTTTATAAAACGGGAAAACTCTGGAATTCATTGCCTGAGGAAGTATTTCCAAGAACTTATAATCTCAACGAAGATTCCAACACCTACCTCCTCTCCCTATCCTCCTTAGGCTCGTCCCTAGGTACGCCCGATGTTTTTCGAACATTATAGGGATTTCCTTTCGTGCGCTCTAAGCGATAACAAAAATGAGAGAAAATCCGCCAAACAATAATATGGTGAAAAATCAGCGACGAAGTTGACGAAATAGACCGTTACCCCCGATACTAACATCGGGGGTAACGAATAGACTCGTTTGATTTCAATAGTGGAAAATTGCTGATTCAAGTTCAAATTGACGAAGTGATATCGAGGAAACAGCACAGAATGTACTATTCTCTTTGTCCATCCATATTCAAAATCTTCGTCAGTTTTGAAATGTGTCAAATTACATGTCAAAATTAGAAAAAAGTCAATATGCTGGGTTTATAGATTCAATCAAACTAACAATAATTAGGAATTAACAATTAACAATCAACAATTAATAATCATGAGGGTGTTCATACATATCTGATATTAATTTAGAATTGAAGGTGAAATGTCTTTTGATTAAAGACCAAATTGATGTTGAAAAGTGGTTTTGGCTCCACAATTCGTGAATCCATAAAAAATATTCCAATTTCATATCACCAAACTCCATTTGAACAATAACGAATCCAATCGTTATGTTCTGTCTCCAGAATTTTCTAATTCTTAGTTATTAAGTTGAAAGTTGACCAACTTCGTAACTCTTAATACTCAATTTAAAAATGACAGATGTACACAGGGTGGCCCACATTTCGTTGTCCCACTATTATTGTTATCTCTGAGACGGTTAGAGATAAAAAGTTGGTTAAATGGAACAAAAGTTGCACATTTCCGTGAAGAAATCGAAGATATCATGAGCCGTTTCGGAGATAATTGAGAAAAACCAAAATTGACGATTTTCCTTTTTAGGAAATGAAGAATAACTGACATTTTGTAAAATAGATTTTAGATAAAACGTTCCGTTAATCCAGGGCCACCCTCAACTTTTTTTTGAAATGCGGATCTGATATTTTTTTCTACAAAAATAAATAGGCTTTTCTCATTCTGCATACAGACATATATCACACTTTTAGTTTTTGTCGGTGTAGTTCTTCTATTTTCCGAAAAAAATTTTTTATCCATGTGTCCTTCGAAATTCGCAACTTTTGTTCCATTTAACCAACTTTCTATCTCTAACATTTTCAGAGATAGCAATAGTGGGACAACGAGATGTGGGCCACCCTGTATAACCCTCATAGATGTTTTCTTGTATTCAACTTTCTGAGTTTAAAGTTGTTAGTTTAATTCTTAGTTTAGTTGAATCAGCATTAGTGGATATAAAATAATACGTTGAAATTATCTATTAGCCTTGTTTTTTTTTTCAGTCGCTTCGGCAAATTCATCCAAGTCAACTACAAAGAAAATGGCATGGTTCACGGAGCTGTCGTTCAAAAGTATCTTCTGGAAAAATCTCGCATATGCTCCCAGGGGCGCTACGAACGAAACTACCATGTTTTCTACTATCTTCTTGAAGGTACGGTTACATTTCTAGGGGTTCATACGAGTACGACCGGTTCCTTATCAGGAACGCATAATGAATTCCGAAATCACAAATGAAATGAAGAAATCTAATAAAAGTGTTAAAGGGCTTTCACGCTAAGTTGATAGTGACGTCAATATGTAAACACATACAGTGTTGCCAGTTGAAAGGAAATGACTGAATGACCAATCTCCCGCATATGGATATGTCTAGTGTTACGATCGTCGGACGTTATAATGTTTTTTGCGACCAACTAAAGCCGTCCATTTATGTTTCAAAATCAGCACTTGAAGTTGATAAATGAACTTCAATATTTGTATTTAAAGAACCATGAACCTAAACAATATACTGAATATGGAATTCAATGATAATGAAATGCTAATAAAGAATAAACTTGAAGAATGATTAATTACATAACAACAACAACAAACAATTACAGTTATTAACATTAAAAATAACTTATTTTCCTGCCTATACACAATTATGGCTTGAATTCATTTTTCTTAATTGTTAATGTGTTGTGATGTAGTTGTAATTGTAATGGACTGTAACTAATAAAATGCACTGGTTTGTTTTACAAAGGTTTATTTGTCGTACGGCGTTGTTAAGATGCGAACATTTCAGCGATCGAAACAAGAATGTTTTCGTCCAGGCTTCATCTCTATCTCAAGGGTTGCGGACGGTACTACCCTGTTGCCAGGTCACATTTATGACCACAATATATTTGACAGTCCTTAACATGCCGCCGACCTTGAAATATGGTAGTATTTCAACAATATGTAAATACAATCAATACAACTAACATGCAAACAAAGGATTGAAGAATATATATATAACAAAATCAAGTTCAAGAATGTCATTAGCAGCACAATAATCACTGTGAATTACCCTCAAAAGGTAAAATACAAATTTTTGAAACACTGCGTTTCACATCACCCACATGAGTCTTGATGGTAACTACTCTAATTAGGTTGTCTGGGCCAGGGTGTAGATCTATGATGCGTCCCATCGTCCATTTGAGGGGTGGAAGATTTTCGTCTCTGATGATAACCATGCTATCGAGTTTGATGGTGTTTTGTGCTATTTGCCACTTGTGTCGCTGTTGTAGCTCAGCCAAGTATTCCGTCGACCAGCGTTTCCAAAACTGCTGCTGCAATTTCTGCACGTACTGAAATCTGGATAGCCGATTATCTGCTATATCCTGCAGGTCAGGATCCGGTACCGATGTCAATCTTCGTCCAACCAAAAAGTGTGCTGGAGTTAGCACATCTAAGTCCTCAGGATTGTCTGACATAGGGGTAAGGGGTCGGGAATTAAGGATCGCCTCTATTTGTGCCAACACAGTCATCAACTCTTCGAACGTTAGATTGGCATTTCCTATGATTTTCTTTAAATGAATTTTAACTCGTTTAATGCTTGCTTCCCAGAGTCCCCCGAAATTAGGTGCCCTAGGAGGGATAAAATGCCAAGTGATATATTCTCGCGATAATTTGTTCGTAATATTATCCCTTTCGTTTTCCAAAAATTTATAAAATATTTCTATTTCCTTGTTCGCGCCTACAAAATTGGAACCGTTATCAGAGTAGATATTTCGAGGATTACCTCGTCGTGCTGTAAATCTCCTTAGACTAGCTATGAATGCCTCAGAAGTCATGTCTGACACAACTTCGATGTGAATTGCCTTAGTAGCGAGGCATACGAATAAACAAATATACGATTTTATTAACTTATAACCCCGTGATTTTTTATCCTTGATGAGAATTGGTCCAGCGTAATCGATACCTGTATTATAAAATGGTGGTGCTTGGGTTATACGTGATCTGGGAAGATTCCCCATCAGTTGCTCTAGGATTCTAGGTTTTGCTTTGAAACAAGTAACGCAACGTTGAATTATTTGTTTGCATAAATTTCGACCCTTTAAGGGCCAGTATCTCTCTCTCACGCTAGCCAGCAGATGCTGTGCACCACAATGTCCTAAACGACAATGTTCATACCGCAGAATCAACAAGGTTAGGTTATGATTCGACGGTAATATTATTGGATGCATTTTTTGAAAGTCATAATTTGCTTGATTTATTCTGCCTCCTACTCTCATGATTGTGTTCTCATCCAAAAATGCATTCAATGGTAACAGTTTGCTTTTCTTGTGGAGGTTGCCATGCTGCTTGAAATATTCAATGTCTGAATTAAAATGTTCGTATTGAGCTTGTTTGATTAATACTTCATTAGCTTTCTTCAATTCCATGGTGTTCAAAGGTCCATAAGTACGATTTTCCTTATTTGATTTGCAATTATTACGAAATCGAAGTATATAAGCAGTAACTCGAAGTAATTTAAGGAATTCCGAATATCTGGCATAAAGTTCATGGTTACTGTGTACTATGATATTTACCACAGTTTTTCTTTCTTCCGGTATTTCAACATTCGAATTATACGCGAACTTCGTTTCTGGCCACATTGATTGTTCCTCAGCCAACCAGGTAGGTCCCATAAACCAAAAATCTGAATCTGTGATATAGTCTACAGTCACACCACGACTAATCAAATCAGCAGGATTATCTTCTGATTTGACATGGTGCCACTGATCAAACCTTGTCATTGTTAAAATTTCACCTACTCGATTGGCTATAAAGGTTTTCCATTTGTTGGGTGGTCCCTTGATCCAAAATAATGTAATCGTAGAATCGCTCCAATAAAAAATGTTTTCAAATTCGATATCTAAGGACTCAATCACCTTTTGTGTTAGATTAGCTAGTAGCTGAGCTGCGCATAGCTCTAAGCGTGGCAAACTAATGTTTTTTATTGGTGCGACACGCGATTTGGCACACATTAACCTTATTTTGTACCTATTTGATTTCATTTTTGATCTGATGTACACACAGGCACCATTGGCACGTTCACTCGCATCAGCAAATCCATGAATTTCATGAAAGATCGCTTCTGCTTCTGTTATATGCCTAGGTATTGAGATATTTGTAATGTTTTTTAATTGATTCCGAAAGTCTAACCACTGTGTTTGTATATTTTTTGGCACCTCTTCATCCCATGATATTTGGAGTTGCCACAATTTCTGAATTAGAAGTTTAGCTACTATTATTACTGGAGCTAAGCAGCCTAACGGGTCAAAAACCTGAGATACTTGCGATAATATTAGCCGCTTTGTAATAATAGCCTTACTATTATGATCACTAACTGAGTATTTCATCAAGTCTAAGTTAGGATCCCAATAAATACCCAATGTTTTACTAGTTTGATTGACAGACAAGTTAATTATATTCGTAGTTAAATCATTGTTAATTTCAAATTCATTAGCTAAACTCGGTACATTTGTCTGCCATTTTCTCAATTCAAACCCGGCCGATTTGAATATATGCAATAGGTTACTTTGTATTTTCAAAAGATCTTGAATAGTTTCAGTTCCAGTCAAGATATCATCCATGTACGTATTTTTCCGTATTATTTTTGATATTTGAGGGTTTGTTATTTCATTTTCAACCGCGATTTCTTCGAGACATCTTGTCGCTAAATATGGCGCGGATGCTGTCCCATATGTTATTGTGTTCAATTCGAAACATTCGATGTTATCATCTGGACTATTCCGCCATAGAATCCGTTGGAACTTTCGTTGGTCTGGCTTTATTAATACCTGCCTGTACATCATGGCGATGTCTCCTGATAAGACATATGAATGCCATCGAAAGGATAATAAAATTGCTATGAGATCATTTTGTACAGTAGGTCCAACAAACTGTGTATCGTTAAAACTCAAGCCCGATTCCGTTTTTGCGCTCGCGTCAAATACTACTCTCACTTTCGTGGTGAGACTAGTCTCTTTTACCACTGCATGATGAGGGAGGTAGCAACAAATAGTGTCAGATGAATCTTGCTCTTCGATTTTGGTCATATGCCCAAGTTTCGCATACTCATTCATAAACTCTCTATAATGGCTTTGTAGGTAAGTATTTCTTCTGAGTTTATTTTCTATAGAATGAAATCTATCTAATGCAATTTTTCTAGACTCACCTAGGTGCGAAATATTTTCCTTTAAAGGAATGGTTACAATGAAACGACCTTGATCGTTCCGCTCATAATGTTTTTTGAAATGGTCTTCACAATAACGCTCGCTATCCGAAAGCAATTGTTTTTTAAGAGAGCAATTCTCAATTTCCCAAAATTTCTCAACATTATTGTTCAAGGTTTCGATAGTCAAAAATGTACTATAGTTGGATTGCGATTGATAACAATTCATATTTCCTCCTATAATCCAACCGAGATGTGTAAGTTGTAACCTTGGCTTATTTTCACCTAATAGTAAATTCTCATCCCGTAATAAATCCCAATATATATTCGAACCAAGTAAAAGTTCAATATTACCACGTATATTGAATGTAGGATCCGCCAATTGAATATTTTCTGGAATTCCCAGACATGCATAGTCAAATGAGACCGAAGGTAGCTGTTCCGTGATTTTAGGTAAAATCAATGTGTGAATTGTTCTACTAAATAGCCCATCTAATGATTTGATTTTAATTGTTGTTTGATATTGAACGTTAGATACCGCTTCATTTATGCCCGAGATTTTTGATTGTGTTTTTCTTTTATTCAAACCAAGTTTTTTGCATAAATCCATACATATGATAGAGCTTTGTGATCCGTTATCTAATAACGCTCTGCAAGTGTGCACCTTGCCCTTTTGATCAGTTATCTGCAATAACGCAGTCGAAAGTACTACTTGAGCTAAATCTGTGTTGTCTAATGAATGAAGCACGTTTGAATTAACGGCTTCAGCATGGGTTTCAGCCGAGGATGCAGCCAACTCGTTTCTGCGTTGTGTCGATCCTAAATTTCTATTTGTGTTTTGATCTGTCCTCGTATGATCCGCCTTGTTCTCTGTGTTCAAGTGTAATAACGTATGATGCTTTCTACCACAATTGAAACAGCCCGTTGAAAGACAATCTTTCACTAAATGATTTTTTCGCAAACAGTTTAAGCATGCCCCAAGGCTCTTGATCTTCGCAATTCTGTCATTTACCGAAAGTTTCGAAAATTGTTCACATTTGTATATTAAATGATCAGATTTGCAGAGAATGCAATTCATACTTCGATTTGTACTCACATATGAATTTGTGTTTAACGGAACCCGGTTTCTATTTTTTACGAATGTATTATTCTTGCTTTCCGATGTACTTTCGAATCTATTGACTTCAAGTTGCTCCAAAATTTCGCATTTGGTTTTCAAGAATCTATTCATGTCTGTCATACATGGTAAATCGTTTGCTATTTCAAACGATTCCCAATCTCTTCGCGTAATTGGATCAAATTTACTAGCCATAATATAAATGATAATTGTGTCCCATTCATCCGTATTGAGTCCTAGTGACTTGATAGAGCGTAGATTTTTATTCACATTGTCATATAAGTGTCTTAGTTTTGAATGAGATTCCTTAAGTATCGATGATTGATCAAAAATAGCCTTAATGTGATGATGAATGATGACTCTCTTATTTTCGAATCTTTCGCATAACATATCCCAAGCGATTTGATAATTTATCGCCGAAACTGTTATCGATTGTATTATTTGACTTGCTTCGCCTTCGAGAGACGATTTTAAATAGTAGTATTTTTGTATATCTGAGATATCCTTGTTTTCGTGTACCAAAGCTATAAATGAATCTCTAAATTCGAGCCACTGTGTATACGAACCCCCAAAACACGGTAATTTTATAACCGGTAGCTTCACTTGTGTTTCAGACCGATTCTCTTGTTTTATCTGATTAGCATTCTGTTTACCCTGAATAGAGGAATAATTAGAAATCATATCCCTAGCGCTCGCTACTAAGTCAAAATAATCCGTTTCAAAACGATCAAATTCTAAAACTTCTGATAATGGTTCGTCATCGTCTTCATCTAGAAGTGCTTTGATTTCAAATTGTATATTACTGAATTCCTCATAGAGCGGTTCTAATTTCAAAAGTCTTAGTTCGAGTTGTGTTACAATGCTAGTAGTTAATTTGGTAATATCCTTATCCAATGAGAGGAAATAACTTTTGAATCGAGTGAGTTGATTTTTCAAAAACTCCCTTTTTGATTTGAGCTTATCTATAGATGCTGCCATTATCTAAATTATTCTCAGCCTATCTTTTCGAGTTTTCACTGTATTGACACAAATAGAATAAATGAATAATAAAGGACAGGTTTGCAATGGAACGGACTCACTTTGGTTTTGTTTGGTTGAAGGTCGACCCTTTTTCTACCTGCTCCCGCTCATCCGCAAGTTCTTGTGTAGATTCTGTCGAGTCTTCCGTCAACTTGCAATGACTATTTTCTACTGATTTATGATTTATCAATGCCGATCTTGATGATTGTGCTGTTTCATTGATGATCCAATTCAGCTATGTAGGTGTGATTATCTATATTATGTCGTATAATATAGCCAAGAATGTCCAATCCAAACTGAGTTAGGTATAGCAGTCGCTTTATGCACTTCACAACTTCTCTAACGCCACACATGTATTTAACTTCAAAAATGTTTATTCACTTGCTGTGACCACATCGGGCGAGACAAGGACCAAAATGTTAATGTGTTGTGATGTAGTTGTAATTGTAATGGACTGTAACTAATAAAATGCACTGGTTTGTTTTACAAAGGTTTATTTGTCGTACGGCGTTGTTAAGATGCGAACATTTCAGCGATCGAAACAAGAATGTTTTCGTCCAGGCATTCATCTCTATCTCAAGGGTTGCGGACGGTACTACCCTGTTGCCAGGTCACATTTATGACCACAATATATTTGACAGTCCTTAACATTAATAAAACTGATCAGTATTCACATTCACTGAGTGAAAATAATAAAAACTTCTCAATTTTGAGGTTATCTAATCCTTTTGAATGTTTTTCAATTACTATAAATTGGTGAAATGAAATAGAAATTCGATCTATTGATACTTATTCGGACAATTCTGACAACACAAAAAAACATTATTAATCACACATCACATTAATTATCACAAAATATCATTATTAATACCATCATTCAACTTACATCTCTCACAGCAGTGATTGGAAGTAATGGGCCATCGTTATCACGTTCATTTTCGAAATATTGTATCAATGATAAAACTATCTTCTGCGCCTCCGCACTCAATGGTTTAGGCATTTTGAATAAATCAAATTACACCAATGATCCACAAATAAATCACAAACAATTCCTTGAAAGTACAAATTGTCAGTAATGAATAATTCGCAGAGATCAGCTGATCACAACAAATCGCTTCTAGAAATGTCAAATAAATCTGGCATCGGTGTACAGTTTTGCCAACTTAAATCGATAACGCCCATTTCGAAAGTTACTAGTATTTTTCGATCTGCAGTTTTGGCACGACATTGCTACCAAGTATTGCGCAACTGTCAACCTAGCGTGAACGCCCTTTATCAAATCTGATGAAGGTGTGTTGTAAGTGACCCGAGAATTATTGCTTCTGAGTTCAATATTTTGTTCATACACTTCTAATGGAAGCACCCCTGTATCTCAAGTAATTGTTGTGTTAGGATTCTGAAATTTTGCAAGAGCGGGAAAAAACCAAACTATAACCAAGTGGTTCATAGATGAAAACACAAAGTCATCTCCACAACTTTTATTAGAAAAATCGAAGATCAATCGTAACGGAACTTGTTTCGGTCTTATAGAAGCCAATCATCAGTCAATAGAAAGTATCATAGTTCTAGAAGAATCGGTATTGACTGAGCATATAGATGCAATAGTAATAATAATATGGTGGACTCTACATATACAGGGTATGTCACGACTATCTTACACTATCTCTATATCGAGAATCAGTTGGGAGAAATCCATGAATATATGCATGCTTATATTCTAGGATAGGCTCTTTCCATTTAAAATATTTTCAGCAATGCAGTGTTGCCGCTTCTATAAAAAAGTAGCAATAACTTTGTTATTTAAAATTCAAATATTATTGCATTTTTAGATTCTTCCTGAAGAGCTGCTTTCTTCGATACATCACACTTGGGGTATATCAGAAATTATTACAAAGATAACGGGTGTTCAAAATGAATTTTTTTTAACTTTGGGATTTGTTTGTGTGGAAACTATTTATTGTCGGCCAAAACGGCTCACATGTCCCTATCTCAACTTTTCATTTACTATTTACTGATATTTAATCGGAACAGATACAGGGTGTCAGAATTCTGAATCTTGAACAACCCTGTATCTGTTTCGATTAAATATCAGTAAATAGTGAATCAAAAGTTGAGATTGGGACATTTGAGTCGTTTTGACCGATAATCTCGATTTTGAACACCCTATATCTCTGTAATCTTCAGCTCTTCAGGAAGAATCTAAAACTGCGATAAAATACAAGGTGTTCTATTTGAAATATCAATGTTTCTACTACGTTCTAGTAGAAGCGGCAGCACTGCATGGTCGAAAATATTTTAAATGAAAAGAGCGTATTCTAAATTATAAGCATGCACGTCTTCATGGATTTCTCCCGACTGAATCTCGATATAAAGATAGTGTAAGCTCTTCGTGACATACCTTGTAGATCAATTGAGGAAAAAAAAAGAATCCTATTGCAGGTATTTTAAATAAAATTCGAAATTTCATTCCTGTTAAATATCTAGAGTATTTATTTCTGACTTATTCACTCAAATTTACAATATCTTATATCTATTTGGGGAAGTGCAAATATATCACGTTTGAAGCCATGAAATTACAAAATAAATCAAAAAAGTACATTTTCAATTTACCTTTCCTAGAATCAACTGTAAATCTATACAAACCTAAAGATTTGCTGAATCTAGTTTCATTATATACACTCAAAATTCGTTGTTTTATTTATTTTGTCTGAAAGGAATTGAAAATATCAAATTTGAATTTTAATGAAGTTGATACACGTGAGTTTCACAAAAAGTAGCCAACGTTTGCGAAAATCGCAAATGTATATCTTTGAAAATAAGTGAGATATCCCGTGGGACAGCCTGAACATATTCATATGCGAAGGCATGAGTTAAAAAATATCACCCCAGATGGTTACAGATATGACATTTTCATTCAGGAGCCAACGAACAAGAAAAACAGCAACTGCATCTCAAGCGAGCCGATCAGTACTATTACTTGAACAAATCCTGCGCCTCACTGGACAAAACCGACGAGAGCTACGAGTTCTCCCGTCTGAAGCAGTCGATGGAGATGGTCGGTTTCACGACCGAAAAGCAACGGCGGCTGTTCTCCGTGCTGTCGGCCGTCCTACTGTTGGGCAACATCGAGTTCCAGCCGAGGAAGTCGGCGTACCATCACGACGAATCGGTGGCCGTGAAGAATCCCGAGGTGGTGGCTCTGATATCGGAGTTGTTGAGGGTGAAGCAGGTTAGTCGTTTGACTTGTGTGAAGGTGGTTGTCTTCGATTTAGTAATAACTATCCTGTCTTGGTTAATAATTTTATTAACTTGTCTGAAAACTACCTTATTCAATATCCACTCAGGTGTTCAAATTTCATCTTCGAGTTTGATCGGTATGCATGTATGTACAATCTGTCCCATCCCAAGCAGCGTCACCCTTGAACTGTCCGGTTTGTTAACCGATTTAAAATTTTTTGGCCAACTATTATCTATTGAAAGTGCAAAAAATCTGTTGGTAATATCAGCTAGAAATCCGATCTCACTTCGCTAGATGAATGGTACTCCAAATGTTGTGTGCTACATCTTGGCAATAAGTATTATCCGTCAACAAAAAACCCTCCTGGTTGGTCATCTAACTGATATTGTACACAAAGCAAACAGTCGCATCTATCTGCTGTGCAAGTGATTCACCAATCCTGGCCCTCAACTATTTGGTCAACCATGTAAGTCGTAAATAACTCCCCCTTTTTTGTCGAGGTGGTTGAAATCCTTTATGGACATCATAATGGGTCTAATCCCCCATATAAAAGTGTGGGAGATCCCTGACTCCAGGGTATACCCATTAAACAGGCTCGTCTGACCTATGTCTTCGACGACACTTGGGCCTAGTGGTCCATTGTATCTTACCTATATGCCGTTATTAATTTTACCATGTACGACTCATAGTTCTTATGAAGGGGCATTTCCATATTAAAGACCCTGGTTGTTCAGGTTCCTGAAGATTACTCTTCCGATCCCTGTTCTCTTCTACGAAAAAAGCCAAAAGCTTTCCTTCTTCTACGAGTGACGGGGGAAGGGGTTGATCCAGATCTGTAGTGCTGCCTGCACTGGGCTAAAGCTGTTTACTCTGAGATGTCGCCCTGTTTCCCAGAGGCCCCGTTAGCGACACCAACCCTCGGTACCATTCATCCATCGTCACGGGTTCCCACAGCTTACATTAGGTTGCCAGAGCCTCGTTAACCAGTCTACTTAATTTTGAGGTTGGGCTTGGAGGGGAAGAGGAAAAGAGAAGTTGGCCAAGGAAGGCCGATAGTATAGATTGAAAGGAAGATATAAGAAGATATCACCCAAGTTGAAGTTTGGTGAATATTCACCATTCCCGTACTCACAAGTTGTGAGCCCATGAGAGTTTTATAAGTCCCCTTCAAGAGTATGGTGTTCAAATCTGGCCTCCACACCTAGTGGAAAACATCCAACTTTCAGAGATGACTTGCCATCGAAATAGTACCCTCACTCAAGGCACTCATCTGAATAAAATAGATTAACCTGACTGATGATTCCATTTCTCAAAGATGGTCGAGCCAGAGGAGATGCCATTCTAACATACCACTAATCACACAACACATTTTCCTTCCACGGACCCCAAGCTGCGAGGAAATACAATTTCAGTTTCACCCTTAGGAATTTTTTTTTCTCGCCAATATAGTATTTGAGCTGTTGAATTCGCTTCCAGAGGCCGTTGTATACTTGAGAGCATAATAGGTTTTATCCCTTCGTTCTACTAGAGTCTAGGGCTAGCACCTTCTGAGGAGGCGAACGTACCCGAACGTAAGAATGTCCTTGACTAACAGAACTCCTCTAACAGCGCGCCAATTTATTGTTTGTTTGGAACATAATTATGTGAGGATAAGAATTTTTTGATCATTGATGAATATAGAGATATCCGTATATCAACAACAATTAGAGCATACAGAGTTGAATGTAAAATTAAAATATTTCATCCGGACAGTAACTTGGTGATGAAAATGCTTTTTGGTCTGCAAAAATCATTTGTTCCTTTAAACTCCAGCTGATGTAGATTATGTAGTATATTTTAACTGATATTATAGCTTCAAAAATAACCAAATTTGCTATAGTGCCGATTTGAGTTCGAATACCTTGTATAATATTTTATATTAAATAGGTCATTTCTACATATATCCACCTAAAATCTATACATACGCACTTATCACGTTCAGTTTTCAAACAAAATCAAACAATCATGATACATGAGTAATTTTAATATTGAAATTGAAAGACATCAACCAGTGGTTGAGTATCAAAACAAAATTGAGCAAAAATCCGCAAAAATCGAATGAATAAACGGAATGCCAAAAGAAAATTCATATGAATTGTGAAGAACCTCAGCACTCAACTTTCTCCTATCCTCATCATCATTTTTCTGTGGACTTGTTTCGTATATTTTCCTTGGTTGGTACTCTGGTCACAGCTTAATAAGCTGTGCTCTGGTATTATTACCTACATATATAGGTATATAAGTACATATACAAAATCTCTCGTTCGATTACCAGTCTTCAGTATCACACACATCAGATTGATAGATGATGTGAAGAATGGGTGAAACACAAAAATAAAATAAATTGGCCTGAAAAAAACTTATGAAATTTTCCATATTTATTATAGGCAAATGATAATATGAGTAATATCAAGAACGAACTTTAGTCACCTTTAATTACGAGTGGTATTTTACAAAAAAGAATATCAATCGTTCTCGGACTCTTCCTCAGAAGGTGCTGGCCCTAGACTCTAGTCTTCGTCCTTATTGTCAGGTTAGGTTTATAGGTATATATTCATAATAATAATAATAATTCAACTCCTTAACGCTGAATGCTCATTGTTATTCACCCTATCAATAGGAAACCTTAATGCAAGCACTTACCGCGAAACGGGCCAAGGCTTCAGGTGAAACTCTTGTTATCAATTACCGTTTGCCGGAGGCGATAGCCAGCCGAGATGCCATGGCGAAATGCCTCTATGGGGCACTTTTCGATTGGATCGTCCTGCAAGTCAATCATGCGCTGTTATCGAAAAAAGACACCATCAGAGAGCACCAGGGAAATTCTATAGGCGTCCTGGATATATTCGGGTGAGTTAATTCAGTATCATGTTTATCGTATGCTCTGTTTTTTTCTTTTTCATGTCTTGCTATACAGTCTCATTATACCTGTTATATAATTGATATTAGAAATTGCTCAAAAGACCTAACCTAATGAACATTACTGATCATAAGTATATTTCGTCGACAATGTATATACATCCAATATTACGTAAGCATCTTTATATGTATCTACCTGTCAACTCTGCCTGCCGATAAGCTGAATTACTGAATAGTGATCTATGTATTATAAAAAAAAACACTTGCTCTCAAAAGTATTGAAATAATTGATCAAATAACATGTTGCAAGTTCGAAATTTCCCTTATTAATGAGTACTGGTTGAATGGCAGAATAACCAAGTTTAAAGATCAATTAACGGATCCAATGCATTAACCAATCAAGTTTTTTTTGTGAAATGAGTCAAGGTCATATTCATGCAGTTTCTGATTCTGCATTGCATGAAATAGCTTCATATGATCATCATTGTGAAAACTATAGTGTTAAATTGATTGCCTACATTTTTATACTTTCCATAAACCGGCCAAGTCTTGGACTTGACTGGTTTCAACATAGTATCGTCAGCATTGTTCATGATTCGAGAATAGGTAGTTCACGCTTTTGTATTCTTGATCGTTTGTCACTATTTTCCTTGCTATTTTCACATGAGTGAGGAAAAGAGTATGTTATATGTTATATCACAGTCTGATCAATGCTTTCATGAAGACGTTCAAGAAAACCACCAGAGTTTTCTGCCAGAGAACAAAAAAACTTCTGCATCAGAAATCAGTCATGATGAATAAATTCGATAGAAAATGTTATAAAATTTTATATTTCACCATAAAAAAATCGAAAAATTGTTCATAAAGCAGTCAAGTCCATTGATATATCTCATTCATCTTTTTGCTACATATTTCGACATTCCTGAAAATTAACCTATCAAGATCTCCTGCAAATCGATCATTAATTTTCAGCTTCGAAGATTTTGGTTTGAACAACAGTTTTGAACAACTCTGTATCAACTATGCAAATGAACATTTGCAGTACTATTTCAACCAACATGTATTCAAATATGAACAGGAGGAGTATAGGAAAGAGGGTATCCGGTGGACGAATATCGATTTCATGGATAATACAGGTTGTTTGCAGTTGATAGAAGGAAAGCCGAATGGGTTGATTTTTTTGTTGGATGACCAGTGCAAGTGAGTTCAGCTTTTATATTAATTATTTTCATATTTCTCTCATAACCTAGTGAAACTTGTGTACGGGAGTACATCTTTCTCCATTCATTACCCAACCTGACAAATCCACATATTTTATGAGGAATCTATAAATTGAATCACTCTAAGTAATTGTTGAGATGATAAGCTAATCTCTGCATTATATGAAGCATCGCATTTATGTGGTATTCTATACTCACTTATCACCTCATCCTTGCTTAGATAGTCTATCTTGCTTTTCACCGACTGAGATCGCTTTGACGGCTATATAGTCTCAGGTATGGTTATGTTTGTCAGAAACCAAGCACCACTGATGAGCTCTAATATAGAGGAACATAATAAAAAAATGAAAAGACGTTGACCTTTTTGTATATAGTTTTACTTAAGATTAATAGTCGTAACGTAATGTGTATCTTCCAATATTTCAGAAATAACCTCTTTAATTAATCTAACCTAAATATTGACATGACAGAAGTAGTGTCTCTAATTCTAATACCCAGGGTATGTTTGTTTGTCATGATTCCTAACCTGCAAATTCGTTCAACTAACCGGCGATCGGTACTCCGGTTCGTCTTCCATAACTCAACAGCATTAAAGTTGTGGGTTACACGCGGTTGGGTTTAAAAGTAGCTCCATTGAAGAAGCAACATCAAAACAATAATGCAACGCCATCTGTAGTAGAAAACGTCAATGTCATCTATCGATTGTTCCGTCAGTTTTCCGGGCGCCACCAACGAGACGCTCCTCCAAATGTTCCACAGCGTCCACAAGAAGAATCTTTCCCATCAGAAGCCGCGATAGTAAAAGCAAAACCTTGCCTTAATGCGACAGGACATCTTTGGCGTACTGATATATTTCTACCTGACATTAAAGACAGTTTTCCCAATCTTGGCATATTGCAGTGAGAGTTGTCTCAATATGCGTTTGGGTTTAGTAAGCATTTTTTGAAGACCTGATTCGACATGATTCCAAACCCGCAATTTTGTTCAACTAACCCCCATTCGATACTCCGAATCTCTTCCGTAAAGTTGAGGGTTACATGTGACCTGTAGTATAGAGCGGTTCAATTTCATCTCCCGATTGTACCTTTCAGTTTCCCGGGCGCTACCAACGAGACGCTCCTCCAAAAGTTCCACAGCGTCCACAAGGAGAATCGCTTCTACCAGAAGCCGCAGAAGAAGGAGGCCGCCTTCGTGGTGGTCCACTACGCGGGCAAGGTGAAGTACCAGGTGGGGGAGATGCGCGAGAAGAACCTCGACCTGATGCGGCAAGATATCGTCGGCGTGCTCAAGAACAGCTCGATGGCGTTCGTGCGTGAGCTGGTCGGCGCTGATCCGGTGGCGGTGTTCAGGTCAGTGGCGCTTGCGGGATATAATTGATATACACGGTGGACCAAAAGTGTATCAAAGTGGGATAACGGCTTCGCTGTTTGAGATAGATAAACAACAATTTTTGACATTTCTTGAATTTCATGCGTTATACAAGCTGATTCGAAAGTGCCTTCACTTGTTTGGCCAAAATAATGTTCCTATACAGAAACCGGCGTTACCCCCGATACTAACAAGGCCTGAAGGCTCGTAGTGAACAGCTCGTGACGTCAGGCCACACGTTCCATCCTTCGCGTGTCGACTGTCGTCAGTTTGTTTAGGTATGTTTGAGAAGCGTGCCCGAATTCTTTTGTTGTTTATTCATCAAATAATTGGCGGAAAAATTATTTTTTGTGAAATATTTTGTGTTGTGATAGGCGAAATAACACTGCCTTTCAAGTGTTGTTCCGTTTTGTAGGGGGAATTATGTGGGTGGTCCAAAAATTCATGCTTTTAGTTTCCCGTTGGACAAGGAACTATCGAAAAAGTAGGTATATGCAATTCACCGCGAGGATTTACTCAATCTAAGTACAGTAGAGTATGTGAAACACATTTTACTAAACATGCTCTTATTACTTCATCTACTGCAACCGATTCTAAAACTGGCAAAACTGTAATAATAGTTTTGAAAATTCCTAGGCTCAAACGAGATGTTATTCCTACTCAATTTCCTAACTGTCCATCTAATTTATCGAAAGATGTAAAATCACGCACAAGTTGTGATGAAAAACTTGAGGTACTAGAGACTAAAAATTTGGCAAAAGCACTTGCCAAAAGTAAAACTGAATTCGAAAATTACCGAAAATCATCTTGCTACACAGAATTTCAAGAATTTCTAGTTGAATTAGAGTCTTTCAGTTGCCCGAAAAGTGGTTCAAAATTATCGATTTGCAAAGTCACATTATTCAAATTGTCTTATTCTTTAGGCCTGTAATTACATATTCGGTTGTGATTGATTCTGTTTTGAATGTGGAATCATTTTTGCATGGCCTAGCGATACAAACATCTCTATAAGACAATCTGAAAACACCTTTTATCTCTAATAATATCAATCGATCGAATCAAGGAATTACTAATTGAAATATTAGTATCTGGGGTAACGATAATGGGTAAGCGTAGTTGCCCCGCCTACTCGAGTATGGCACGTGTGGCAAGCGATAATCACTGCTTTCTTCTTTAAAATACCCTTCCACAGAATGCACATGGTTTCCCTATAAGAAAAATTATTTTTGCCAGTCGTGTATGTGTGTGTATGTATTTTATTGCGTTTTCAGGGTCTTCCTTGTGAGCTGAAGTGTGATAGATTATAGATCGATGGAATCAACTGCTATTTTATATTCTTATCATCGTGGCCTACCACATTTGAAAATGTTTTAACTGTTTTTTGACTCTGTTCCATAAAAAAGGTTCAATAAGTTATGCATGGCTGTGAAGGGAATTTTCAGCTCTATTTAATGATATAAGAAGCAAATATGGCGCCCATAAGAAAAACAAAAGTTGCATGGTAAATCTCTGAAACTAATGGAGATCCCAACTTCTTTGTCATGATCAATTACCTGCTTATACAAAATTTCAATATTTTTTCTCCAATAGTAACCATGAAAGTAAATACAAACGAAATCAGTGATTTTCAGTTTTCTCAAAATATTTCATTTTTCATATTTCTCATCGTGATCAACGTCATAGTATTTTAACTATAAATGAGTGTTCTTGCCTATTGGTCTGATATGAAATTTAGATATAGTCTTTTCAAAGTCACTTGAGGCAGCTTGATCAAAAGAGGGTGATATAGGCAAACTTTTTATAGAAAGGGCAGTTCATAATAGATATTTTTTTCATTTTCAAATTCTCAACATCTGATTACATAAAATTTCAAGTGCTTCCATAGCAAAAGGTACATGATTTAGTACCCCTTTTTCATTACTTCAAAATCTAAGATGATTTAATAGTTCTCACCCCAATATAGTCCACAAAAAGTGTTGTTACTTGAAGCCAAATCCAGCTAAATTCAATATTTCAAGAAATACTGTAAACTTTGTTCATTCTGTAGTTTGTTTTATCCTTCAGGCTTTAAGGTTTTTAGGTATTATATCCTCTGTCTTCATGCACTCCAGTAGGTATTTCCACTTCAACTGCAAAAGTTTAATGACATTCTTGTTAGGTGGGCCATTGTGAGGGCGTTCTTCAGGGCATATTTTGCATTCAACGAAGCCGGCAGAAAACACAGACAAGGAAGGGTGGACGGTAACAAGAACAACATTCAGCAGAGGTACACAAGGAATCACACTCCCAACGAAAATCTCATCAGGTGTGTACTCATAAATATCCAACTGGGTGTTTTTTATCGTTTCATTTGAGATTTTTCTGGGCTTTCTGTTTATTGGTCGCTTATATAAATCATATATCACTGTCCTGGTAACTTGAAGTATTTTAATTCTCATAACTTTGTTATTGAGATCTATTTCACCAATTATGAAAAAAATGCCTCAGTAATAGTTGTTTTGTGACTGAATATTTTCAAAAATCCCCGTGAAGTAAAATTATTGTAGGTTGCCATTGAAAATTCATAATATTTCTCTCAGCAGGTTCTTTTCGCGAAAAATGGTATACTGTCCAGTTGAAAATTATCTATTTACATAATGGTAAATGATGGCATCATCAATGTTATCTACTATAGATCAGCAGTCAATTGATAATCTGATGATATTTTTCAACAATATTAGTGGTAATAAATTGAGGTGATTCATTCACAGAATCAGTTTTGATTTTTGGGGTGCATATCTTCCCTTTTTTCTTAATGGAAAAAATGTGTAAGTAGTCAAGATTATTATAAAGCATATTCGCTTTTTTAATACTTCTCTTTCGAAATGGTTTGTTTTAAAAGCAATGAAATAGCAATTAATATCTAATATTTTGAAAATCTGACAGGAAGGGTAGTAATTTCCATTTAGGTTATTTCCATTGTAGAGTTCAATAAATGTCATTGAAAAAATTCTACTAATGTGATGTAGGGCGAATGATATAGAAATATTTGCCGCCGAATATTTCAAAAAGAGTGGACTGTCTTTTTGAAATACCATTTACTCATAGCCGAAAAGGATCATTGATACTAGAAATTAAAACAATTTGTGAGGTCCAATTATTGTTTCTATGTATACTTGATGATTTACATTGAATCTGTGATTCTATAGCCATCTAGTGACAGTTTCTGCTGTGAATCTCACGATTAACAGAATAGCGTAAGTGCAAACGGTGAAAATATCTGTCATAGTTTTCATTGACGCATCTACCCCTTTGACTTGTTATTTGATTGTTAATTTTTTTCCATCGAATCTTCCTACTGTCATATGTTTAGATATGTTTTTATGCATGGGTGTTGAATATAAAAATGCGATTTAAAAGTAAACATTTCAAATTTTACAAAGTGGTAAATTTATTCAATTTAATTTTTTTATTTTCAACTATTGAAATGCACTGAATTCATGTTCCTCTTATATATCTCATTTTGATTATTATTGATAAGATGTTCTATATTTCGCAAAATATATTCTATAATATGTTGTTGCTTTTAAATGTGCAGGATATTGTGTTATTTGAATTTTTCTTTGAGCAGCCCAGGAGCATGTTTGGTATTTTGCATGTGTACCAATTGCTGTGAATTCATGTTGATGCCAGGAAATTTTCAATCCCTTTTTTTCTGGCATAGTCTTGCTATCTTTTGGCATACCATATTGCATACTTAATCAAAATAGTATATTGTTCAAAGAGCACGGAATGATAGTTATTTCCCACGAAAATTAAGTTTGCAGCATGAGCCGTAGACGAATGCTGCAAATCATGCGAGTGGAAAATTATCATTCCGTGCGAGTTATACACTTAACTTTTTCTGGGGCTGTAACAGATAACATAACAGTGGGACTTTTTATTCCATGGGAGATGATATTTAGTGAAATATCATAATGAAGTTATTGCGATATCAGATACGGTAATGAAATTGATGACATACAAAGTACCTCATTGATTCATCAAACACAGTAAAAAAGAGCAATTTTGTGTTATAGCCGTAGAAAAATGGTGATTGTTGAGTTATAGACGATATTTTTGGTTAAGTTGATGTAATTTTTGAAAAATATTTGTATCTGTAACTGTGTGTTTGACACCTACATTGAATACTCTTACTATTACGATATCAATAGCGAAAAAATAAATAATTATCACTTCACAAATAGCACTGCAATTTTATCCGATGTTTAACTCATACGAGTATAATTTGCTTTGTATTTATAGCCTTTTCTATTTTTTATCACAGGCTACTCCTAATCGCCGGTAGTCTGACGTGGCTATCGTTTGTCATCTAAATGTTTTGAGGTAGATCACAGTCCCTAAAAGTGTGAGTACCTCTGGATAGGTTATTGATTAATTGAGCTACAAAATACAAAGTTATTTTGTAATGAGGCATATATGGAAGACATCAACATGATATACTCAGACGAATATTTACAAAATATTGAGTTACTTATCATGCCTTCTAACGAGAAATTTCAACTTGGAAGTTGAAAAATGAATGTAAAAAATGGCCAGTAGGCTCGAACTGACAGCACTCTAGCAACGTGGATGACTGTCAAGTGAGATATAACGCGTTATACGGCATAGAAACTTAATCAAAATATAAAAATTTCTGAGAATCTCTGTCTCTTACTGATGTGTATTATTGAGAAACCTATAATCTCAATACTCGGACTGTGAAAAACTGTCTACTTAAAGCCTCATCAGTTGCGCTGACAATCTATTCATGAAACAACCCCAAAATCTTTTAGTTTTGAGATTGAAGGTTTCTCTAAATGATTTACTGCTTTATTTCATCCGTTTATTAGTTGAGGAGTGAGAATGGGGAAAATTCAGCTATAAAAAGGCAGCAATAATTGGTCATTTATATAAAATAAATACAAATAAAGCTCAAAGTCATTTCTACAAATGTTCATAAAATGAACAACAATATTAGACGACGGGAGAAAAACTACTTTTCGTGGCTACTGCCACGCAGGACATCAATTACATCCTCCCGGTTAGTTAGGTGTTTGTAAAAAGAGAATGGGCGTGTACACCTTAGTAGAACTTTTAACTCAAACCATGTTTATAATGATCCTTTCATACATAAATAATGATTGACGACATAATTCGATCGAAAAATTAACTGGAATGTTTTATTTTTGGACATAAATAATAGTAACTTCTGAAAACGGACCCTCTTATGACGTAGAAACCTCATGTCGCCATAGTTAAAAGAAAATACCAAACGCCCGACGGAGACTGAGGCAACTGATATATTAATTCTTTCAACTGTGATCTCGCGGTAATTCACTTTGTCAGAAATCATGTATCATTCATCTCTGTCTAGAATAGTCTTGTTTCAGTATTAGGGTTTTGACTTCACATCATCGCCTCGTTTTCAGAGGTCCGAAAAATCGGGGATTTCAATAATTTTTTATAAAACGTAGGGAGCTCACAGCAAGAAACGGTTTACGGTGGTGAGCTAGTTTGGGTGAGTTCTATCGAATTATGAAATAATTTTTTTTTGTGATATAAAGCCCATTGGACGTTTTTTGATTAGTTGTTTCAAGCCGGTCATTCCAAAATGTTTATGAAAATTCTAAATCATATTTCACCTCGAATTACAATGTAACATTGCTATTATGTGAAAATACAAATCCATATTGAAATGAAGTGTTGTTCTGGTGAATGGACTATCATGTATTCATCCTTTCTGACATTCAGCAAACATCGAAACACGATTTCGTTCAACCGTATCGGTCGAAACTCGGACAACGAATCTTCCTCGAACAACAGGCTCTCTTGGCCTAATCTGTACCAACGAAACAAAAACACCAGCAGCAGCAACAAACACGCTGACGACGAACGACGTAGGAAAGATTCCCTCGGGAGCCCTAGCGGTTCTGTGGGGCTCGAAAGGTTGGGCCCCGATGAGGCGAGGGCGCTACAGAGGGCTAATCAGATTGTGATGTATGTGTATCGTAAAATTCGGGTTTCGGTCGGGGAGCTTTGGTGGAAAGTTGCTGAAGGTGGTGGTTTTTAGTCTTAGTTGTATCAAAGTTTACTGAATAGCTATGTCAGTTCACTGTTGTCATCACAGACATCTGAGAATATCTGCGGTAGCGGGTGTTTGCTTTGGCTTGGCCAGACTCTGTGGCCAACTTCGCATTTGTAGGAAAATCGAATTCTGTTAATTTTGGATATATCATCAATAGAGAGTTGGGTCCAGGTTGTCAACTGTATTAAATTTTGGAGAACTCTTTTATAATAGTATATTTTCTATTTTGTTGGGAACAAAATCAATGGATTTTCGGATCTCAATTGATTAACCTATTTGTTTGGCAACTTTTAGCTCCTGAGCGTTAGTGGAATTTCGATTGATTCACAAGTTAAAGAACGTTATATTTGTTGCATCTCGAAATGCCCATAGAAATTCCTCTAAAATTATTGAATTCTTGCAAGTCTGAAGACTGATCTCGCATTTGGAGATAAGTATTAGGTATTTGACTTCCTTCTTTTAACACTTTTGGCATGAAAACTAATCTAACAGTATTTATGAATATATAAATTTAAAAAAATCGAAAAAATATCAATTTGTAGTAGAAGTCCATGGTATCTCAGAAATATTGCCAAAATAACTGAAAAATATAGAAAATATATGTTGATTGATGGCTTTATGCGAATCTGGTGGGTGACTTACCTCAAAAAGGCTATAGAATCCTCACAAAAAAACTCTTTTACTCGTCAGTTTCAATAAAATCAGAAATTTCTGAGAATTCACATGCAGATAGTAACAAAGAAATGCATTGTGTTTCATTTTGTAACTCGTTTATTTTCAGGACTCTAAACCTGCAAAAGTGAATCAAGATCAAACAAATCAATCGAAACTGTACTTTGTTGACAGTTGGGGTCAGTTTTTATTTTTCTCCTCCTCCTTTCTAGAACTGAAAGTTTACCAAATAATGACGATTATGTTATGTTATTGAATTTTTTGACAAAATAACGTGAATTGACTCAAATACAATCACTACTGAATCATATTTCCATGACAAATTAAACATTTAAAAACAAGTTTCTCACGGATATAGAACGTTGACATGAGTTTCTCAAGAATAAAGAACGTTGACAACTTGGACTACCCTATCGCATAAGCTACAAAACGAAATGAGTTTTCCATTATCTTTAGTGAGGAATAAATTTGCTATATCTTGCGTTTTTCCTTCAATGTTATTCTAGCATGATTTTGTTTGCATGCCTTTCTTGAGTCGTTATGTATTATTCTCGAATACGCAAACACTACTCCTTATTAGGAAGAACAAATCATTTCGTCCCCACGTACGAAGCAAAAAGGGCCTCAAAAATCTTCAGTCCGTGAAAACTTTGGCTGGAAGGACGGGCATTACCGCTCAGGCTCAAGGTCAACTAGGGAAGGCGAGGAAGCAGCCCATGACTGTCACTGCTCAGTTCCAACAGAGCTTGCATTCACTCATGGACACTCTCAACCAAGCAAACCCGTTTTTTATAAGATGCATAAAGTCAAATGGTGAGTATTTTTTTCCAAATACTCTCCCAACTTGTGAACAATTTTTTTTACGTCTTGAACGGAAAGAGATATTTTTTAATCCATAGCAAACAAAATCCCCAACACATTTGACGAGAGCACGGTGCAACGACAACTGCGTTACACCGGCATGTTAGAGACTGTCCGAATTCGACAAGCTGGTTTCAATGTCCGTCTAACCTACGATGAGTTCATTCAACTCTATCGCATCCTTCTCCCGAAAGGACTTCTCAGTTCACAGGTAATGACATTTGACAGTATATTAATAATATATTTAGTTAGTTAACGTAACTAGTTTAACACGTTCGCTGCCAGTCTGGGACTTGATACTCACCTTAGGAGCCGACTACGTTTTCATAAGTAATAAAACGATGTTCTGAATATTCTAGATAACTCTGTCGCCTCATTCATTGTTCAATGAAGTCAGAATTATGAGAAGAGCCATAATTATTTTATGCCAAACTGACAGACTTTGCTTCGCTATCTAAGGTTACATCCAGACTTTGCTTCACTATCCATGGTTACATTGTTGAAAACATCAACGCTGATAGACCAATCAGAATTGAAAGACAGCTAATGTTTTCGCTATAAGCACACGTTGTCACTGGCTTGTGATTGGTCAGATTATGTGATGAGTCAGATTATGTGATGACTGAAATAGAATATGGAAACACCACTAGTCAAATAACGCGCTCGGGCATGATTGGCGTCTAACGAAAGTGCCGTATTGCGCGCCAGCGCGTTATCAGCAGCGAACGTGTTAAAACAGTTACCACACGATAAAAAACGGATGGATTTACTCATTCAGTATACCCCGTGACAACTGGCAGTTGTTTCATTAAGTTGTTCATGAATTCGCCATTGAAAGCCGAAAATACAACGCACCGTTTCCATTTCTATGAAAATTGTAAATAATATAATCTTATAATGATTGTAAATTTGGTTCGAGATTTTTCCCCGCTTCGTCATTTTTACAAAGTAGGCTATATCCAGAGATTTCTAAACTCCGTCCAATACGAAGAGTAATTACACCATTTATACATCTATGATATGACACTGAAAAATTCATCACGTTGAAATGAATTTGGTCATTCATTCATCATCATTATTCAAAGTAATAAACATTTATACCCCTGTCCATAGAATGATGTATCAGTTTTGGTAAGTTGGTATATTGAATTAAGTTTTATGATAAAATGGCAGGTATAGTATTGGATGTCAAATTTATCTTGAATCTACGAGAACCCGAAACATTCTTCACAGTAGAATATTTCCAATAATACAGTAACCAAACAACAAACAGCAAAATATAATATAATTAAATCGTGAAAAATCAGATGGAAAAATATTGGCCACCGTTGGATCCTGTAGCACTGACGATCTAAAATGAAAGTAGAACAGGTCTGTTGTCTTTTGCTGCTATTACAATGTAAAAAGTCATGAAAATGCCTGAAATCAATCACAAACATAAACCAATTTTAGTTGGGAGATTTTGAGAAAAGTGCGTGCTTAAGGCAGAATAGTTTTTTGACAATATTCACATGGAATAATATTCAACTAACCTAACCTAGATTATGATTCTGCTCATTTTCAATTCTCTTGAAATCGATTGCAGGTTGATGTCAGAGATTTCTTGTTCACTCTCAACCTCAACCGAGACAATTACCAATTGGGGAGCACCAAGGTATTTATGAGGGAAAGCGAGAAGTACAAGCTGGACTGCAAGCTGCACCAACAGATCATGGCGGGCATTGTGACGTTGCAGAGGTGGTTCAGGTCGTGTTTGGAAAGGAGGAGGTTCTTGAGGATCAAATTCGCCATCGTGACGATACAGTCGTTTTGCCGGTAGGTCTTCGAAAGTTAACAAAGTTGTCCCAACAATTTGATTTTGTAATGATCATATTTTTTAAGGTGTATTTCGTCTAGTGAGATTGACCATAAACAGCCAAATATAAATAAAGTCGGCGCTTTTTCCTAAAATTATTTCATTTCTATAAGCTCAAGAATCAGTAGATAGTTTTATTATTGACTATTCCACTCTTGTTCTCGAGAACCAATCAGAATCGATCATGTTTACGGATACTCCTTTTTGTTTACTAAAATTTATCAGACTTGCTCTACCACTACAGAAGCCGAATTGACCACGTGACCAACCAACCTCGTTTTTCAACGATAACATTTTTGACGTTTATATCGTCAATTATGTTGGAAGCCAGAATGATGGATGCAGTGTGCGAAACAAATTTTGATAAACAATGTTATTCGCAAAATAATTAGTCAACAAGCTGTCGTAACAATCGCCGAATATATCTGGCAAAATATGTGGTATTACATATGACAATTCAATTAATGTATGAAAAATCTCATAAGCTGTGATTTTGTCATCATGCCAGCCAAAAAAGTTTGCCCTAATTCTTCCAGCGGCAATTTAATTCATATACCGGGTGACCAGTTATATTCTGACCCATTTCAAATGCTCATATCTCTGAAACCATTCAAGTTATCGTTCTGCGGTTTGGACTAGTCTATTTTGATGTTTTTCAAGTTTTTTTTTGACGTGTTCATCTTCTCACTTGAACTTCCGGTTCTACCGGAAACAAACAAGCAATAATCCAGGTATAGGGCAACTTTTTTATTTCATTGAATCACCTTGTGTATTTTTGCACATTCAGAAAGACTGGTCTTTTCTCCATCTAACAATGTATTACAAGTTATGTTCTTCTAGAAAACTATTAGAGTTATAACTCTTTGAAACAACTACTGCTTGTGGAATGGTTTAATGAGATTATGCAATGTTATCAAAGTTGCCCTATACCTGAATAATGGCTTGTTTGTTTCCGGTAGAACCGGAAGTTCAGGTGAGAAGGTGAACCAGTCAAAAAACTTGAAGAATATCAAAGTAGAGAAGTCCAAACCGCACAACGATAATTTGAATAGTTTCGGAGATATGAGCAGTTGAAATGGGTCAGAATATAACTGGTCACCCGGTATAAAAAACCCATAAGCCGCTGTGATTTTGTCATTATGATATCGAAAAAACTGCCCTTAGTTTTCCAGCGACAAAACGGAACCTAATATTCAAAACCATGACAACCAGAATTCTGAACGTTTATGTACATTTTTCTCAATCTTGCGTTGCCAGAAAAGTATCTAATTTGTGGAACAGTCACGATTCGGGGAGTATTCCTGTGGAGAGAAATTGGAAAAACAATCGACAATAGTGTGATTTACATATTCAGTAAATTTATTTAATTATTAAATAAACGGATTGGCAATTTTAAATTTTCTCAAATATATGCTGTGTTTTTGGTCGTAAGTAACTTTCTTATACAGGGAGTATGTAAATAACACCAAGGGGTGATTCCTCGTGATATTTTAGGAATTAAAGTTTATTTGAACATGTGTCCTAACTTGCTTCGTTTTCGAGATACAGGGTATTGATATTTCCATGAAAGATCGTTTTTTTATTCATTACTCAATTGTCTTTTCATCAATCTCAATAGAACGTTGTGGTTTTGTTATTAGTAATATGTAGCTTCTTCGGGTGCAATTAGATTCGAAATAATATTTCCAGTGGCGTCACAGTGGGTAAATTTATCGATATTTATGGTGGATGTCATTGTATGCCACCGGTTTTTCTGACTTTTATATTTTTATTGGATTGAACTATTTGAATAACAACATTTGTATGCCCTGTGTGATTTTCCTAGTTAGCTTAGTTTTTGAGGAATCAATAAAAATTCGATTGGACTCCAAATTTAATGTAGATGTTTTCAAGGCTTCCATTGAGATTACTCAATAACCACAATTACAATTATTTTGAAATTTTGGAGCTTTCTCAGTCTCCAACCATACTGAATTTTGGCACCATAAAAGCTTATACAGGGGGTTAGATATAAAAACAATTACTACATCCAACTTCAACATCCTGTACACCCTATATAACGCCCAGCTCTTTGCGACTTCATTTTTTGTTTCAATTCATCAATGTACCAGTTCATTATTAAACAAAAACTTGTTGAAAATATCACCAATATTTCTAGATTTTCAAATGATAACAATCTCAATAAAATTCAGTGGTAGAAAGGATGTTTTTTCAAACCAACAACAAATTAATTCATACTTTTCCTTGTTTTTAGAATGTATCTTGTACAGAAATATATGAAGAAATTGCAAGCTGCGTTGAAAATTCAGAAATGTTGGCGGGGGTACAAGTGCAGGAGTTGGTACCAAAAACTGAGGACAGGTCTGGTGATGTTCCAGGCACATTGTAAAGGTTTTCAAATAAGGAAGATGATAGCTGATCACAAATTGAGAGGTGATTTACCACCAAGGAAACAACCGGTGAGTTAAATGCAGTTCAGAATTTGAATTAAATCGAAATTACCAGAGATTAATCGAGAATACTATGTAATAATATCTAGCATTTGGAGACACATTGTCTGATGTTTTTGGTTTCCCATATCAAATACAGCATTTGTTTAAGAAGGAAGGTCATCATTTATTTTTTCATGGCAAATAGACTTGATTCACGATAACATTGTATGAATGAGACATCTGATAATCTTTATTTTAGGTGATATAGTGAAACGGTGGATCAACATAGTCTTCTTTTTCGACGTATTATATTTCAAACAATGACGATGACGTTTTTTACTCCACGAACAGGGCCCTGTAATATTCTCATTCATACCAATACGTATTTGTCTAATGTTTTCATGAGTAATTGACTGACGGCGAGGAATGTGAATTCGGGTGAAGTCAAAAATGCTAGAAATCAATTCCCACCTTTTATCGAACTAAAATAGTATATTATTTAACGAGCACGGATTGATAGTCATTTCCCACGAGAATGGAATCATACGAGTGGGAAATTAATATTCCGTGTGAGTTATAAACTAAACCTTTTCTACGGCTATATCAGATGATAGCGATATTTTTTATTTCTTCGATAGAAATTTGACATTTCATGAGAAATGACATTTATTGTGAAATATTAACACGATGAAGTGAGTCATTATGTTATCAGATAATACCTGATTTATTTATCGAAAACAGTAAAAGAAGAGCAATTTTGTGTTATAGCCTTAGAAAAACATTCCTCACTTGATTTTGCAATTCGTTAGCCTCCAAACATATATGTGACATATACAGGGTGAGTCATGACTAACCCGCTATAGCCTAATGACGGATAAAGGAAGTCAAGGTGAGTTGATATATATGTGAAAAAAATATATATTCTGCCTATTTTCTACAAGAAATTCGTGGCGAAACTTTGATAAACGATATTTCAGGAACGTCTTGATGTTTTCGCCTGAAATTCACCAGCAATTTACCTCTACTGACACACCACACGATGGCCTATTATGGAGGAAAAATTCCAGAGCCGGACTTGGAAAACTTATTTTCTTTTTGAATCTCAAAATAGCGATTATTGAAAAAATATCAAACAAAATTCAGACGAATATTTCTTCGATTTCGTCCGGGCCATTACTCTTTACATTCGACTAAAAGTATTCGAATCAGTGTTTTCGCATACATATTGATATAGCAGCATAGAGAATTGTTTGTCTAGGTAACACCAGAAGAAGTTGTAACGGTAATTATAAATATGAAAAATAAAAAAAGCACGGGATTCGACGAAGTTCCGATCCATGTCCTAAAAGCATGTGTACATGAAATATCTAATATTTTGACTTTCATAGCAAACAAATCTTTCGAGGAGGGAACTTTTCCAGAGGCTTTGAAATTAGCAATCGTGAAACCCTTGCACAAAAAGGGTGACACCGACTGTCTATCAAATTATAGGCCTATCAGTTTATTAACTTGCTTTGCAAAAATTCTTGAAATTTTGATGGCAAAAAGACTGGTAAATTTTTTTGAAAAGTTCCAGATATTTGCAGAGAACCAGCATGGATGTCTTAAAAATAAATCAATCGAGACTGCCTTATTTCACTTCAGTGTCGAAGTTTTGCAAGCCTTGGATGACGGAGATCTCTCTTGTGGCATTTTTGTGGATCTCTCCAAGGCATTTGACTGCATCGATCATAATATTTTGCTAGATAAACTATATAAATACGGTATACGCGGTAACTCCTATAATTGGTTCAAATCATACCTTAAAGATAGAAAACAAGTAGTTGAACTATCATCTGAACAGGGTGCAGTTAGGTCGAGTGCCTTGGAGATGTCCATGGGTGTCCCGCAGGGCAGTATCCTGGGTCCAATACTTTTTGTAATTTTCGTGAACGACATAAAAAATGTAGTAACTGATTCTTCCACCAAAATTTTAAATTATGCTGATGACACTAACTTTTTACTTAGGGGTCCCAATTTTATTGATATCGTTGAAAAAGGAACGTTGATAATGAGGAGAACAAAAGATTATTTCAATGAAAATAAGTTGATGATCAACAATGAAAAAACGGATTGTATGTTGCTGAGAATCAACAATATTATTGAAAAGCCACAATCTATCAACATTGACAATCAAAATATCATATGTAACAACACTGTCAAATTTTTAGGGGTCTATATAAACGACAAAATGACATGGACAACTCAGGTAGAAAATTTGTGTAATAAACTGTCTTCAATTACATATGCTATAAGAGTGCTGAAACACAATGTTGACCAAAGCACTCTGATCACAGTTTATTATGCAAATTTCTATTCAAGAATGAAATTTGGGATTGGGACATGGGGAGGTTGCGCGGACTTGGATAAAGTTTTTATATGCCAGAAAAAGGTAGTGAGGATAATTTTCGATTTGAAGATAGATGGCTCATGCCGGGGAATATTTAAAAAAAACAACATGTTAACTGTACCAGCCTTGTTTATTTATGAGGCTATCAAATTCCAGACCACACATGAAAATCACTTCAGCAGTCACAAAATGAATCATGAACATAACACGAGACTAAAAAACAACTATAGTTACCCAATCCACAGAAAGTGTATTTTCGAAACAAGTCCACTGTACGGGTTGATGTTAGTTGACCGAAAGTCTATTCGTCGAAAGTCAATTCGTCGAAGTCAATTCGTCGAAAGTCAATTGGCCGAATACGCCAATTGGCCGAATAGGTCAGTTGGACGAAATTTGGTCAATTCGTCGAATTTCATAATATGTCACCTGATTGTCAAGTGAATAGTCTTGAATGCAGAATGGCGTGTTTCATGCAAACTGAAAAATTGAAAAAGAAGCTATACTTCGAAGGCTATATGTATGTACGAGATTCAGAGAGGAATGAAAAAACTTATTGGAGATGTGAGTTTAAGAAAACTTGCAAAGGGAGAGCACATACAATGATTTCTGCTATAGACGGAGACGAGGTATACACGAGAGGTGAGCATTCACACCAACCAGATGCTCGTAGAAAAGAAGTTATAGAAGCATCAAATCTTCTCAGGAAAAGTGCAAGAGAAACGTTGAATCCAACAAGCCATATTGTGCAGGACATAATGAATTCTGTGACTCTTGAGACGGCTGCGATTTTACCATCAACTTCATTGATGAAAAGAACCGTTCTGAGAGAGAGAAGCAGGAACAAATTGCCTCTTCCAACATCGAATGATTTCGTTTTACCCGATGAATACAAAACAACTTCGAGCGGTGATAATTTCCTAGTGCAGGATTTTAGAGAAAATGGCGAGAGGATATTGATTTTTGCAACACGAAAAAATTTGGAAATACTTCAAAAAGCTCATGTATGGTTTGCAGACGGAACTTTCAAGGTAGTACCGAACATTTTCAGACAGCTTTATACAATTCATGCATATGTGAAGGGATTGTTTGTCCCATTGATATACGCACTTTTATCCAATAAGAAGAAACAAACATACATGACTATGTTAGATATTTTGAAGCAACAAGCTGATTTTCCGAATCTACAGTCTATAATATGTGATTTTGAAATCGGAGCAATGAATGCTTTCGATGTATCATTCACGAATATTAATATTCGAGGATGTTTGTTCCATCTTTGCCAGAATGTTTATAAGAATATACAGAAAATTGGACTGCAAAGTATGTATGCCAATGACATACAGTTCGCAATAAAAGTCAAAATGATGACGGCTCTGGCTTTCGTTCCATGTGAACATGTTATAAGATATTTCGAATGTCTTTCCGAAGTTTTTCCTCCAGAAGCTTTCGCAGTTTTAGACTACTTCGAGGATACATATATAGGTCGTTTACGAGGAAGACGACGTGGAAAACCAATTTTTGCCATTGATGTTTGGAACGTATATGAACGAGTCAAGAATGATCTGCCTAGATCGAATAATGCTCTAGAAGCATGGCATAGAAGATTTGGAAGTTTGATTTCTTGTAGTCATCCTTCCATTTGGTATATTATACTGAATGGTATAAGAAAAGAACAACAATATTTTGAACGTAAAATAGAACAGACGTTGGCTGGAAATGACGAGAAACGTATGAAAATATATGTCGATCTAGACAAGAGAGTCAAATCTGTTGTAGATGAGTTTGAAAATACTGAACCTGTCGATTATTTGAGAAGTATTGCTCATAATCTCAAATAATGTATTATTGATTAATATTTATAGAAAAAATAAAATGTATCGAATCGTTGAATGATTAAAAAATAAAGTGTAACAAAGCTGGCATGTTCATTAATTTTCTAATATTTTCCATAATGTTATAAAAGATTAGCATTAGTTCAAGGCTAGTGATGGGGATTTTACTAGGGTTCTTGACCCTTTTTCTCACTTCAACGATGAAATAAGAAAAGAGACTCAACAATGACGGACGTAATGATGGAAACCCGAATAATATCTTCGCTTATTCAAGAATCGAGTGAGAAATATGGATTCCCAAGAAAAAATTCGACCAATTTAGTCCAACTGACGCATTCGGCCAATTGGCGTATTCGGCCAATTGACTTTCGACAAATTGACTTCGACGAATTGACTTTCGACGAATGGACTTTCGGTCAACTGACATTGACCCCACTGTACAATGCAATAAAATTTTATAATAATCTTCCGGATGAGATAAAAGCTATTCAAAATTCCAAAAGATTCCTTGGCTCGGTACGGAATTACTTACTCAGTATGGAGCCATACTCAGTCAGTGATTATTTTTAATCTGTGGTAATGTTTTATTTCTATGCTTTTTTTTTTATTGAATGTTTATACTAGATTTTAAACTGTATGTATGTGACTTACTTCTCAGACGCGTAAGACAACTCTGTAGAAATGAATAAATTATCTATCTATCTATCTATCTATCTTATCTATCTATTCTCTCACTTGTATTGAGTAATGTTGAGGTGCCCTATCCTGTTAAGAGAAAATACCTATTCATGTCCATTTTCATACAT